TGCGCCCCCACGGACGCCCTTCCCCTTGCCCAGACCCCAGAAGCTGGGTGGCCCCTCCCCAGCCCCGGGCCGGCTGTCCAGGGCCTGCTGGCCGTGGGTTCCCATGTGGCCCTCAGGGAGCCGCACCCTCCCGGGCTCCCTTCCACCCCTCTCCAGCGGGAGCTGCCGCTGTCCCAGGAGCCTGTCCTGGGGAGGGCAGCCCAGAGGGACCCGGATCCTCTCTCCACCCTCCTGACCTGTGCCCAGGGCTGCAGGAATGCAGGGGGCACCAGGGACTGATGACATCCAGGGCACTGCCATGGGACCGAGAATCAGAGAGAGGAGCTGTGTCCTGCCCGAAAGCTGGGGACCTATGTGGGCCTTCGAGGGTGCCCTGCTGGCCACTGTCATCCTTGAGGAAAGGGGCTCAGCCTGTCCAGTCACAGGGCGGGAGCCCTACCCTGCGGCTTCTTACCCCAGAACAGTGCTGGCCCATATGGTGCTACTGCCAGCCCACCACTCCTGAGCACCTGAATGTGACTAGAAGCCAAGCCTGGTGACACACGCCTGTAATCCTAACACTCAGGAGGCTGAGGCAGGAGGGTCAGCATGAGTGTGAGGCTGACCTGGGCTATGTGTTGAGTTCAAAACCAGCAGAGAAAAAACCCCCCAAAAACTAAAACTAAAAAAAAACAACCAGCAAGGGGGGGGGACTAGAGCCACATGCTAAAGTGACAGTATTTTAGATATGCTGGGTTAAATTTTAAAATACCATTTGGATTAGTTTTACATGTTTACATCTTTTCCTTTAAACGTGGCTGTGAGAACTTTTACAAGGCCCTGCATTGAACACCCCTGCCCTGTGCAGAGCCTGTGCAAGCTGGGCCACCTGCCCCCAGAGGAGAGGGACCCCCGAGGTCAGGTGCCCTGCTCAAGGTCAGAGCCCGCCAGGTGGGGTGGGTCTAGGGTTTCTGCACCCTGTCCAAGGTGCCGAGGCCTCTCCCCACCTTGCCGCCGCCCTGCCAGCCTCAGGATCCATGTGGACACCAGAAATGGCCCCCGACCCCTAGAGGCAGGGGTCTCCCGCCCATGCCCCGCCCCACTTTGGGGTCGATCCCCTTAGGTGACTGCTTCTTTAATCTCTCCCCCTGTCCATCCCTGGAATGTGATAAAAATACCCAGCATTGATCTCTTTTTCTTCCCCTTCTGCCAGGATAATGTTTACCCAGGTGTCAATCAAAAGGAGGATTTGGCTTCCTAATTTCTCTCCTCCTCCCTGGGGGCCTTGCGTCCCCGCCCCGACTGGACACTGAGCTGAAATCAAGGTTGCTAATAATCCCCAGCACACACAGCCACCAAGATCATATATTAAAGTCACATATTGATTTATATTTTCGGGTCCCTCTGCCTTTCTGCCCAGCCTCAGCCTTTCTTCCTGCCAAGAAGAAAAAAGAATTACGCAGCTATATTCACCGCCAAGATGTTTAGTGTGAAGAGCATTGTGTCTGAAGATAATCCCTGCCCTTCCCCACCTGCTCCGGGGTATTTTTTAAAATACTGTGGTGTCACCTATCTGTAAACACTTATTTTTTTGCTGTTTGTCCCTTAAACTTTTCCCAGAGGAGGCAGTGAGAGATTTAAGGTAGACTGTTAGGACCTCCTGGCTTGATGAGGGCACTCTGCATTGCAGGTGGGGTGGGGTAGGAGCTTGAGCAGAAGGCGGGCTGAGGGTTTCAGTAAACTCTAGGCGTCACCCTCCAAACAGCACATCATGAGTAGTGGTTTGCGGCTGGTGGACCCACTTCACAGCTGGGAAAATCGAGGCAGGGGAGTGGGGTGCTGTACTCCTGTCAGCCTCAGGATCCCCCAGAGCCCCAGTTTGATGCCTGGCGGGAGTCCTGGCTGGGGAGGGGTGGCCAAGACCCTCCTGTGTTGGAAGCCTGGAGCTTGCACCCTCTCACCCCACCCCAGAGCCCTGCCACCCTTAAAGTGCTAAGTGACTCCATGGCAGTAGGATGGAAGGAGGGGCTCCCCGTCAGCACTGGCTCCTCCTCATGTCGGGGTTCCTCTGCCACGTCACCCCTCATCACCCCCCTCCCCCGGAGGCAGGGTGGCCCTTCCCTCCTTCCTGGCTGGAGCTGTGGGGTCCCGACTGCCTCCCACCCTCGGGGTGGACCAGAGCTCTCCCTCAGGGCCTGGCCTGCTGGGGGCACTGGGCCATGGCTTGAACTCTAGGTCCCCACCCCGGTGAGAACTCGCATGGCTGAAGCCACCATGGGGTCCAGGCTGGGGTCCCTCCCTGCTGTCGGCCCCACAAGGTGACCGCTATGGCCACATACAGATGGCAGTCCTGGCTCAGGGAGCACGGAGGACTCCCCAAGGTCACTTGGCAGGGAGCTCCTGGGAGCGGGCCAAGTCCTTTCTTGGGGACCCTCCTCCACCGGGATCTGTGCCCTGCTGGCCACATGTGATGGCTCGAGGCATGACGGGACTGGGCGCCACACTGATTCCGCAGCCACCCCAGGCTGGGTAATTGATCTGCAGGTGCCAATTTGCAGCAACTAAATATTTGGCTTCTCCGGCTGCCTCTCAGTGCTCTGCTCAAACAAACTCCAATTAAAAGAGAGCAGTGAGGAGGGAGGCGGCCAGTTGAGCCAGCGGGCTCACTCTGCCCTGCATGTCACTGAGCCCAGGCACCCGGCTCATGGGAGGGACCATAGGAGCATCTGCTGCGGGGCACTGAGGCAGCACGGATGGTGACCACGGGTGCAAGTGGAGGACATGTCAGGGCCGTCCCACCCCTCAACCCTGGCAGAAGCACTTGGCACCCAGCCTCACCTCTTCCCGTGCCCAGATGCTGGGCAGGGGTGCGGCTCCTCTCCCTGCACCCACCTTCCCCCCAAAGGGGGGCTTGCCCACAGACTCCCTCTGCCGAGGAACTGAGTAACTGTGGGAACCCTGGCAGGAGCCCTGGGACCCAGGGCTGCAGATGCCTAGCTGGGCCTGGTCGGGTACACGCAGCCCTTTTGGGCGCCTGCCCTTCAAGGACCCGCATACAGGGCCAGGAAGGAGAGCTGCTGGCTGGAAGGCAGTTCTGGGACAGCGAGGGTGGGGGCATGGGGAGGGGGGACTCGGGTCCTTCCACTGGGTGGAGCTTGCATTGAACCAGGGCCTCATGCACACCAGACATGTGCTCTCCCACTGAGCTATGCTCTGGCCCCTTTTACTTATTTATTTTATTTTATTTATTTTTTGGTACCGGGGATCGAACTTGAGTCCTTGCGCTTGCGCAGCAGGCCGCAAAACCACTGAGCTAAATCCCCGGCCCACCCCTTTTATTTTTTTGACAGTCTCACTAAGTTGTCCAGGATGGCCTTGAACTCATGATCCTCCTGCTTCAGCCTCACAATAAGCTGGGAAGCCAGGCACCAAGTGAACATTGCTTAGGAGCCAGAGGAGGGACTTGAAGGCAGAGGAACTGGAAGGTGAGTAAGGAGGACCCTGTCCACGTGGGGGTGCAGGTCTTACAGGCCCCTGGCTTCCAGGCCGACTGCCCTGCAGGCTGCAGCAGGTGCCCCCTGCCCTGCTCCTTGGGGTCCAAACAGGCCTCCCTCCCCTGCACACCCCTCAGTCCCTCCACCCTCAGCCCCCAGTGTCTTCCTCTCTCCCGCTCCTTCCCCTCTCTCTGGCAGCACAGGGAACAGATGCAGTGCAGACCCCCCGGGCTGGGCATCCTGGGGCCCTCACCTCCTGCCAGCCTCCGTCTCCCGAGGGTGAGCACTGAGCGGTGGAGCGGAATGATTTCCTGTAATTGGCCAGCACTGTGTGACTGACTTGTTCTATCGACGTGCTGGTTAGCTGGGAATTGCACTGGAATCTGAGTGGTGAGGGAGGAGGAGGCGCTGGCCCAGCCAGCCGGGTGCAGCCTGGGCTGGGGGGAGGCAGGAAAGGGACGGTGCCTTCTCCTCTGGCTCCCGTCCCTCCTGCCACCCTCAGTGCCCACCAGGCCCAGCCGTCACCACTGTCCTTGTGCCCACCCGTTCCCAGCTGCCAAGGGTCGTCCAGGGGTCCAAGCCTCCCCCACTCCTTCCATGTCCTCCCAGGGAAGGAGGTGAGCACCTAGAGTGGCCAGGGGCTGCCCAGTCGTCAAGGTAGGGGTGTGGGCAGTGCAGGCAGTGGGGGCCACCGAGCTGGTGGCCACCTGTCTGGGGGCCACTTGGCACAACCGTGCAGACCTCAAGGATGGTACAAGTTTGTGAACTCCCTCAGGCCAGCTGGGCCCAGCACACATGGTTCTAGGGGCCTAGGGCCCAGACAAGGTGCCCAGGACGGGGCAGCAGGGGGACAGAGGCTGAGACTTGCGCTGCCCAGTGGGCTTCAGCCCGGGTGCCTGCTGCCACCTGCTGGCCACATGGTGGCTTGGGAACAGTGGGCCACCCGGGCCCAGCTGCAACCTTCAGCTGCAAACTTGGTATTCCTTGGGGTTTTAGCTACCGCGGGTTTTTCTGTCCTCCATGTAGGAGGTCCCATGATGTGGGCATCACAGAGCCCACTTGAGAGCAGACACCCAGGGCTAGAGGTCACAGCACAGCACCCAGGAGACAGCTGCCCCCCCCCCCGGCCCTGCTGCCCCTAAGAGGTTCGGCGCAGCGCTGTGATCCACGTCGAGTCCCTCTCTCCAGGGCCCAGCCTCTCCACCCCCCGGGCTCACAGGGAGTTAATGGACTGTCTCCAAGGTGTTTGAAGCGCTGGGAAGGGGCATTACACGTGGCCACCCTGCAGGCACATTCGTCATGTTCACTTCTGGCCTTAATAGGCAGTCAGGCAAAGAACCACACATCAGCAGGGGTCAGGCACTGCCAGGGTCTGAGGCCCACACTGGTCTGACTGGGCTGGGAGGCTTAGGGGCACCCCGACGCCCTCACAGGGGTTCACCGCCCCTGGCGGGTGCTCCTGGGCCAGGGCCATGGCACATGAAGTGGGCAGGGGGACCCCCACCATCACCCACCAGGGCTGCAAGCTCGGTGTCTGGATCACACTTTATTGACCACCCCAAGGGCCCAGCTCAGCACAGGAGCAGCATGAGGCCCACAGGCTGCAGAAGCCAAGGCTCCACGCTGGTGACACCCATGGATCACGGGAAACAGGGCAGAGCGGCTCCCAGAGCACCCGGCCAGCCAGGCTTCAACAATGGGCGCTGGGTTAGACACTGAGGCAGGCAGGATGCATGGCATTGGGTGTCCCAGGCCAAGCCACCTGGAGGGAAGCACAGGGTGAGGAGCAGCAGGGCCTGTGGGTGCCAGAGCTCGGGCTGGAGTCAGTGTGGGGAGGCCTGGGGGCAGCCGGGGGGCGTGGCGCCTGCCCGTCTGCCTGGCCACAGCCTCCCTACCCAAGAGTGGAGAGGGGAAGCTCTCATCCAAAAGGGTTTTCCCCAGTCTATGCAGGTTCTGCTGCGACGGGGCCGGGGCAGGGGCAGGGAGAACTCAAACCCGGAGGCCTTGGACCCCAGGAGGCCAGGGAGCTACAACCCACCCCCCATCTAATGAGCGCAGCCTGCACTACAGGAGCCAGAATGGGCACTGGGCAGGAAGGAGGGAGGGCTGGCCAGCCAGACCTGGGCGAGCAGCGCTGCACCCGGCTAAGGAGAAGGCAGCAGGCACCGGGCAAGCAGGTAGAGGAAGCTGGTGATGCTGGCCAGCCCCACAAGCACGCCGAGCCGCAGCGGCAAGTACTCCAGAGACCGCTCGAGCTGCGCGTGCAGGAGGATGGCTTGCCGTCGCGTGTCACTCCACTGGCCTGAGTTGTCCAGCACATGGTTGGCCATCCGGACCTTGTCCTTCAGGGGCAGCTGGGCCTGGATGCGGGCCTCAGCATCCTTGAGGCTCAGGCCATTCCGCTCCATCAACCGCACCAGCTGTGTGTCTCGATCGCTAGGGACAGGCAAAGCGGCACTGTGGGCCCCAGCGGTCCCTACCACCGGCAGACAAGGCACTGGGGACAGGGTTTCCCCTCCAGGGCCACCCTAGGACCCGGCTAGAGAGGGTGGGGCTCAGGGAGCTCTGGGGGTTACCTCCGCTTGGGCCAGTGAGGAAGGTGCTATTTTCTGCCCCCTGGTGGGTCCCCGGGTGCAGGGTGGGAGGCCTGGATCGATAGGAATCAAGGCCTCCCAGGTCCCCGGATGCACCTTCCCTTAGGCTCTGCTCACCCCCTCACACTTCCTGCAGGCCCCAAGGCTGCCCTGCAGTGTCCACACCCGTCGGGGCCACAGAGCCCTGGCCTGGCCCCTGCACACTGAGAAGGGAAGTGGGGACTGGCAAGCCCAGGGTCTCTGGGGGTAGCAAGGACTCTGAAGTCTCAGGACAGAATCAGGCACTGCAGACTGAGTGGAACACTGCAGGGCTTGCAGCTCCAAGGCAAACTGGAGACGACCTCTTCCACCACCTGACACTGCCCCTGTGCCGCTCCTCAGGAAGCCCCTCTCCTGCCTTTGCCACCCAGGAGACACTCAGCTTGGTGGCCACAGCCAGCCCTCCAGACGGGTCCCCTGGAACGGTCCTCTGCCCCTGATCTGCCCGGCCCCTCCAGGGCAGGAGGGGATGGCTGCACAACTGTTTTACCACCCTCGGGACTGAGCTTTCCTGACTATGAAACGAGAGCTTTTATCACTCCAGGTCAGGCCCTGCCTTCTCTGGGACCTGGCCAGGTGCAGTGAGGCTGCCCTCCATGACGGTGAATGTCCTGTTACAGGAGACGGGGACTGTCCAGGTCCTGGGAGGACAGGATCCTATGTAGCCTTCGTCAGGAGCACACACTCTGCAACTGGGAACCCAGGTGGCATGGGTCGGCTGCAGGCTGAGGCTGTGGTGCCTCTTGTCCCAGAGTCTGGAGCCACACCCTCGACAGCCCTCCCTGGGCAGCTGAGTTAAGGACTGGTGCCTAATGTGGTGCCGGGATTCCCACCCATGTACTTACTCTGTAACTGTCACAATCCCTCAACAATGTGAATCATCAGGGCTGGGGAAGCAGCTCAGGGGAAGTGCTTGCCCAGCGTGCAGGAGGCCCTGGGTGTTGATCTCCAGGGCCATTAACAAAGTCATCGGGTTTGGGTGTTGCTATTCTGTGGGAAATGCCCATGTCATTCAAATGTATCAGGTGTGACTTGTAGGCATCATGTGGATCCTTTGGTAACAGCAAACAATCACTCATCTCTGGCCTCTCTCCAGGGTCCAACCTCCTGTGCTGATGACAGGTACACCTGGCATCCAGCGTGACTGGCACCCAGGACTCTACTCTGCTTCTCTCTACTCTGAGACCCAAGGTCCTTGTTTCTGACCGCTGCAAAAAGGTCCACTTGTGCTACAGGCACAGAGCACCTGAGGATGTCATGGGCACCCCAGCCCCAGAGGACGTCATTCACAAGAAGGGTACAAGAGCATGAGGTGCAGCTTTACGGGGTGGGGGGGCGTACAGCCCTAGGGACCTGAGGGCACACCTGCATCCCCAGGCTGAGCTGCAGGGAGGGTGGGGGACCCAGGGCACCGAGCAGTCAGGCCCTGCCTCCAGGTGCCCCAAATACCTGTAGTGCCAGTTGCCCGAGGGCACCAGCCAGGAAGTTACGCCCTGCAGCCTCATCTGCTCACACCCTCGGGACTAGGACTCATGTTCTCTGCCAATCAGCCTGAACCTCCCTGCTCACCAGACCTGCGCTCCTGTTTGCTTCCTGGCCTGGGGGTTCTGAGAACAAGGCTCCTTCCTTGGTGGGCTCTGACAGCCCCCTCCATGCAGCTCTCTGCTCACAGGCATTGCCAGTGGGTGACCCCCGACCAATCTCAGGGCCCCGTGTGTTCTCTCTTTCGTACCTCAGAAGCCCGATCCTGCCCTGGCTACCTTACCCTGAGCGCACAGTGGATCTGTTTGGAAAGCGGCCCCCACAGCCAGAAGGGGGTGCTAGGGCAGTGGAGGGGCGGAGCCCAGGCCGGGACCTGCCCCAGGTGTGCCTGACTCTGGCACAGGAGCTATTTCCACAGGTTTAGGGCGCTGCCGCCAAGGTCCAGTCTCGGCCACCCTCGTGGCCCCCAGAGGGAAGGTGCAAAGGACCCAGGCCAGTCCAGGCTCACCCCCAAGGGCTGCCACACTCACCAGTACACCACAATGACGCGCTTCAAGTACCTGAGCAGCTTCCTGGTCTCGAAGAGCAGCGGGATATCCAGAATCACATATCGGCGCCCTGGGGAGAGGGTGGGGCCCAAGGTCAGCTGTGCCAGCACACAGGAGCACGGCTCCTATGCTGGGCCACTGCCAGGCAAGAGCCAAGGAGGGGCCGCCAGCCGCTCCACGCTACTCAGAGCAGAGGCTGTGAGGGCCTCAGGTTGGGGAGAGCCCTGAGGGCGGCACGGAACTGGCTCTGAGACACCCAGCAGGGCGCAGGGCCCTCTGGCCATTCCCACCCAGGGCTGCCCAGACACAGGCGCAGCCCCTGCTTCTCTACCCTGTGTGCACACCAAGGCTGGAGCACAGGGCACTGCCTCTGCCCAGGCGCCTGGCCCGGCGTCCACTCTGAACACCTTCCACCACAGAACCCGATGTCCACTGTGGGGGTCCGGGGATGCTGCAGGGCACCCTCGCCTGAGGTGATGCAGGGGAGGGGCTGCAGCTGCCAGGCCCCACATTTCCCAGAACCCTAAGAGAAGCTTGTAGTGGATGATGGGGTTCAGGGCCAGGCTGCTGCTGGTACCCCCACTTCCTGCCTGTGACCTGGCCCTTCACGAGCCTCACAGTGGCCTATAGGATGCTGGGAAAGGTGAAATGAGCTCTGCCTGCACGCACCCCACTTACACCCCAGCCGCTCACTGAGTTCTGCGGATGGCTGTTCCTGCCACTGTCCCCCAGGAGGAGGCTGGCTGTGCAGGCTCCCGCCCCCTGCCCCAGCTCAGAGCAGGCATAAAGACCAGGTCCCCTCCAGGCCTTATCTCTCCTCCAAGCCTGTGGTGCTGTCCTTTCTCCTGCCCCTCTCGGGAGTGGTGGCCAGGCTCCGGTCCTGGCAGGGGGCTATTCAGCTGTCATCCTCCTCTTGATAAGCCCTGTGCACACCCGGACTCTATGAAGATGTCGTCTGCCTGCGGAGACCGCCCTGGCAGCTGGTGATCTTATCTGACGTCTGATTATACCAACTTTGACAGTTGTATTTGTTATACTCATCAGGGAGAAGCCAGGGCTGTAGAAGCCACAGCTGTCGTCCCATTTTTCACCTTATCGAGCTGAAAAGAGCTTTCTGGCTTTTATTTAAACAGTGGCGGGTGGGGAGGCGGGAGGCTGCTGGGTGACACTGGCAGCACTCGGGAGCAGGTGACATTATGCGACACCTCATTTTGGAGGGGGCCCTGGCCTGATGGCCTGGCAGATGTGCTGGTACCCGGCCTGGGAACGAAGGCAAAGGGCAGGCATGGGGGCCAGAAAGCTCTGCCCACGGGCAGCGCGAAAGGGACCTGCACAGGCGTAGGAGGAAGGAGAAAGGCTGAGTCCAGTGCCTTCTTGGGGAAGAGGAAGAGAGGTGCTGCTGGGACGGCGGGCACAAAGTGGCCCAAGCAGCGGGGCTGGCAGAGCACGGTAACAGCATGGGTGTCTGACATTTGCCCCATCTTCTGGAGGGTCAGCTGAGGGAGACAGGGCTGGGGCACTCCCCACTCAGTACAGAGCCTGAGGTACGACAGAACAAGGGGTCTGGCCACGGCTGTGCGTGAAAACTGGGAGCCTAAAAGGCTCGAGGGCCCTCAGGAAGTAAAGGCTCGAGTTGTGACTGCCAGTGGGAGACAGGCGGCCAGGCCTTCAGCTTGGAGGCCTCCTATCAGGCGCAGACAGGGGGTCTGCCGGCCCTGGCCAGCCGTCCCCCGCCCGATGACTGACTGAGTGAGTTGGCCCTCCCAGCACAGTGCAGGGATCGGCCTGAGCCACTCGTGTGCCCCTGGAGAAGGTCCGTTCCGTCTGCTCACAGGCCCCTGCTTCTTTACTTTCTTTCTTTCTCTTTCTTCCTTCCTTCCTTCCTTCCTCTCTCTCTCTCTCTCTATGTATTTATTTCTTTCTTGTCCTGCTTCTCCAATGTCCCCCTCTCCAGAGCCTGGCACAGTCCGGGGTCCCTGCAGCCCTGGGGGCTGATCCTCCACCTAGAGCTCCGCCCTGGCCATCCCCAACTCCAGTGAGCCCCAAGCCATCTTGAGGCTCCCCAACTCCGGTCTGCAACCCGGCTTTCCCAGGAGGCTCAGCTTGAACTAAAGCTGCCTCCGACTGCAGCTATGCTTGTGCGATAGTCAAGCTGCCAACATGGACACCAGGTCTCCTAAGAGAGGACCAAAGCTGGTCCAGACGCAGGATCAGACTGCAGGCCCGGACCCTCAGCGAAGCCCTAAGACAGAAACCATCAAGGTCACGACTTGACCTCAGGTCTGGGACTGCATTATCCATCGGCTGTCTCTACTCCTGTCGCCCCTGGGATCAACTCACTTCCTGGGGTCACCGGGAGCCTCCGGGGTCTCTTCACTTCCTTGAGAGCTGAGGGACTTGCGGTTCTTTCCCCTGGGACTCTGTCCTCGCCCAGCTCACCAGACCCCCCGCACCCCGCAGATGAACCCCTCCGCGCAGGCTCAGCTCTCACCCTGGAGGAAGCACTTAAAGGTCTCCTTCATCATTTCCTTGCAGATCTCGGGGTGGGTGATGGCATTAAGCAGCTGCCGCTGGTTGGGCTGCTTAAAGATGAGGTCCCCCAGGACCTTGCGATTGATGTCGCCGTTCTCCAGTAAGACCTCAGGGCCAAAGGCCTCCACGATGCGCCGGTGGGCAGGGTACCCTGGCTGGACAACTGTGGGATGAAGGGGAGACTGTCATTCCTGGAGCCGCATGACTCCAATGACCAGAGGCGGCGGGTGGTTGGGGGGGTGTGTGTTTGCTTCTTTTACATGCAGCAAAGATAAAGGAAGAGAAGCAGCAAGGGAGGATGGACCCCTCCTGCTGGTGACAGGGCCAGGAAGGAGGGCAAGATGGCTACAGAGCAGGAAGAACAGAAGAGCCAAGAGGGTAGGACTCAGGCCAGGGCTGCGAGGCAGCCCCTCTCCCCGAGTCCTCAGAAAAAGGAGGGTGCAACAGAAGCTCCCTGCACTCACTGTGGCGGGCGATGACATCCACGTCGATCACTGCGCAGCCCAGCTGCTGGAAGAGCTGCAGCACAGAGCTCTTGCCTGAGGCAATGCCCCCTGTCAGCCCCACCAGGAACATCTTCCAGGGCCAGGGAGGTCGGCCAGACCAGGAGCCAGGGGATGGCCAGGGAGTCACCAGAGAACAGTCGAGGTCAGCACCGGCAGCCCACAGGACAGGGCCAGAGGACCTGCAGGAAGAAGCAGGCAGGCCTAGTCAGGGCTGGGCCACCGGGGCTGGCAAGGGAGGCAGAGGAAGGGAAGGAGACCCCGCCCCAGGCTCCGGGACTTCGGGGTGACTGACAGCAGCGCCTCCTCCTCCTCGCTAACAGTGTGCCGGGAAGCTGGTGAGTTCATCGACCAGCAGGCCCGTGCTGTTCTGCAGGGTTAGCGTCCCCAGAGAAGGGGAAAGCTGTCGCTTCCCAGCGAGCCCAGCGGACTCCTCAGATGCCTCCTTTGTGCTCTGCGACAGGACTCTGTGGGTTCTAAGGCAGAAACGGGCTCCTGCAACCCTCAAGGGAGCCCAGATGGAGGGCTCTTCTGCTAAACACCCCTCCCACAGGGGGCTCCATGGTGCCCACCAGGATGCCTGTCCAGTCTGAGGAGCCATCCTTGCCCCTCAGCAGGAAGCAGCCATCGAGGGAGCTCGGAGGGAGGCCTAGACCCGAGGCCTGGAGGAGCACGGAGCTCGAGGGATGTGGAGGAAAGGCAGAGGGGTTAGGGAGCAGGTGATGCAACCCAGAGCTTGGCATCAAGGCCTGCAGCCCTTCGGAAGGAGCCCAGCAGCCCAGCACACGGGCCAGGAGCCCAGGCCATTTCAGACCCAGCACTTTCATTTTCATGGTACTGGGGATCAAACCCAGGCCTTCACACCGAACTCCATCCCCGGCCCTCTTTTTCTTTATTTTTGAGACGGGGTCTCGCTAAGTCACTAAGTTGCCCAGGCTGGGCTTCAAATTGGAATCCTCTTGCCTCAGCCTCCCAGAGTGCTGGGCTGACAGGCGTGCGCCACCTTTCTCTTAAATGCTGTGTGGCCCTGGGCAAGTCACTTGCCTGTCTGAACCTGCATTTCTCACCCCAGAAATGAGCCAAGCAGATCTGCCCACAGGGAGGGCTGCCCTGAAAGGGTAAATGCTCTTCAGCCCACAGCACCCTGCAGAACAGTCCACCCAGGAGATGTGCTGCGCGGATGCTGGAAGGCACAGGAAGAGGCAGGCTGTCAGGGATTTGCATCCCACTCCTGCACACGTCTCAGCAGTCACGGTGCTTTCAGCACCAGCAGGGACGCCCCAGGCTGGGAGCGCTGATGTCACCGGTGGTGCCCCTCCCTCCCTGCAGCGCAAGTCACTTCTCCTGGACTGAACTCACTTCAGCTCTGTCTAAGCCTGAGGTTTCCATCCACAGCCTCTGCCACACCCAGCCCTAACTACAGTGTTTACCCTGAGGCTGGAGTCACCCCCAGGTGCGCTCTCCAGGGTATAGGAAGAGAAGGACAGAGTTTAACTGGGAAAAAATCAGCCTTGGGCCACTTAGCTGCTGCTCTGCACTGGGAACTGGCAGCACCCTGACCCCAAGGCAGCGAGGGCTGCAGCTTTTCCACCCAAGACCAGTCCGGGGACAGGGAGGGCCAGGCCTGCTCCCCACAGGCCCCTGCCTGCAGCCCCTGATGGCGAAAGACCACCCAGTGGCCCTCAGGGCCAGGCTAGCCAAGAGCCTAGAAGACCTCAGCCTGCCGAACACAGCCGGACGCTCTTGGGCCTCGGAAGTATTTCTTTCTGGTGTTTTTTGTTTTTTGGTTTCTTTGGTACCAGAGATCAAACTCGGGACCTTGCGCTTGCAAGGCTGGCGGCGGCACCGCTGAGCCAAATCCCTGCCTTCTCGGAAGCATTTCTGAGGTGAGGCTTGAATGGATCCCAACCCTTTACTTAAGTGCGGCAGGGGTGAAGATGGGAGGGAAAGGCCCTGCCCAGGCCACAGCCTTTCCAGGCTCCTCCCCCTGGGCTGGACCCCAAGTACCAGCACCGGGGATCAAACTCAGGACCCTGCCCTTCCGAGGCAGGCACGGTGCCACTGAGCTAGATCCCCGGCCCCGGCCCCCACCTTAAATGTGCTGGGGGAGCGAGAAATTCATTCCCTCAGACTAACAACACAGAAGGCGAAGGGTGGCTCTGAACTAATGGATCCAGAACAAGAGAAATGACCGATTCGTCACAATGTTTTCTTTCTCCTGCAGAATGGGACACGGGGGCTTGTATGCCACTACGCAGGCTCCCAGGGTTGCCTAACGGACGGCTTCCCTTTCTGGAGCCCTGGAGGGCCATCTGCGGAAGCAGGCTGGCAGCTGCGTGGGCTCGGAGAGGACGGCTGAGGGGACGGAATAGCACATGCGGGGCGCTCCGCAAGACTGTGAGAACAGCTGTGCCGGCAGCTCCCAGGCAACGGCACAGTTGACCCCTCTAAGGCTTCCTCCTGCCCTGGCGAAGCGTCCTTCCTGGAACACTCCACAGCCACTCATGCCAGTGCCATGGCCGTGACCCGAATCCTCCAGGAAACAGTGAAGCACCAGCCCACTCTGCTGAGCCCTGGGTCCCAGTCCCTCGCTTGGCCACAGAACTACCCACAGTGCTGCCAGGGGCCACTCAGCAGGGTGGCACAGGGTGGCAAACACCAAGCTCCAAACCTCTCCTCCTCTGCCTCAGTCTCCCCACCTGCAAAGAGAACAGGGCTTCTAATGCAAAGGACAACATCAGACACGAGGGAGCAGGGCCTCAGGGTAGCTTCCTCTCCTCACCTGGGCACCAAGCAATGACATGACCAGTGGTGACCTAGGCCTCTGGTTCCCCAATACAAATGCCACTCACGGCCCAGGCCCGGCCCAGGGCAGGAACAGGAGGCTGGTGCTGGAGCAACCACAGCCAAGGTGGGGCTGGGAGGAAAGCCAGGACTCAGATCCGGGCCACGGCCAAGGCCCTCCCTCCCCTTGTTCTCCACAGGGTGCAGAGACAAGCACAAGGGTTCTGAGGTGGAGGCAGCATCTGCACCCCAAGTCTCCACAGGCCCAGAGGCTGTGAGAGGAGAACTGGGCCTGCTGTGCTCCACCACAGTGGCTCAAGCCCTTCTCACTGGGCAGCTCCAAGCTACCTTTCACTTCTTCCCTCCTGGGTCCCATTCTCCCAGAGAGGACAGGCGGTGGGAAGGGTGAACCCCTGCGAACCTCCCGGCAGCTTCCTCCCAGGAGAGTTACAGCGGGCTGTGGGCTGCCCACCGGCCTTCACGGGCAGGCCAGCAGAGGACCTGGCCCTCCTGCCCGCACCAGGCTTTCCCCCAAGGAGGGCAGGCTCCTGGCCTAGGGTGTCACCTCATCATGTCACTCCCCGACGCATTCAGTCCTCAGCACTGCCCAAAATACCAAAAGCAACCACAGTCCTCACTGCATTCTTCCCTTTCCCGCCTGTGCTGACCTGGGTCCCTCTGCCCAGCACTGGGCCCCTCACCTGGCTTCCCTCTGTCCTAGCTGGAGCTTGCACAGTTCCCCAGTCACCCCACCCTGCCCAGGCCTGGGGCCCCGGTCCCCGGCCTCAGGAGGTTCCCCACCTGAGAAGCATGCTGTTCGAGGGCTTCCAAGGACGAGGACGGGCTGTAGTTTTGGAGGAGGGACCCGAGAGGTCGCTGGTCAGGACCTGAGCACAGCTCCCAGTCCCCTCCCAGCAGCTTCGCTGCACCCCACCCACATCCGGCTGCATCGAGCACTGCCATTTGCTTTCCCATCTTTGTGCCCAGAACTTTGTACCGTGAGTTCGTGTGGTGATGGGTGGGGGAGAAATGGGCTCACTCACTGCCAGGTGGGCCTTGAACTGGGACCCTCCTGCCTCCACCTCCCCAGTGCTAGGATCACAGCTGTGAGCCACCACGCCCTAGGGAAGGGAAGCTGTTAATTTTTCTTTTTCTTTTTTAAATTTTTCTTATTTTTGCAGAGGATGGAACCAGGGCCTCTCACATTTCTAAGGGCTGAACACGGAGTCCATGAGGCTGTCACCCAGCGACTGTCACCTGTTGGGTGAGTGACAGTGGTCAAGTTTCCTCACCAGTGAAATCCAGCTAACAACACCTGCTTCTCCAGCTGCTATGAAGAGCAGAGCTGAGCACGGAAGGTGCTTTGGGTGGTACCCAGAACACACTGGGCCCTGGGCTCTCTGCCCTCTGGAGGAGGCTCTGAGAACTCATTTTTTCTTGCAGTGCTGAACCCAGGGTCTTTGCACTGAGCTGCATCCCCAGCCCTTTTTATTTTAGTTTATTTTGGTACTGGGGATCAAACTCAGGACCTTGTGCTTACGAGGCAGGCTTGGTGCCACTGAGCTAAATCCCCGGTCCCACCTTTTTATTTTTTGAGCTTGGGTCTCCCTAAGTTGCTAAGTTGGCCAGGCTGGACCTGGACTCACAGGATCCTCCTGCCTCAGCTTCCTAGAGTGTTGGGACTGCAGGTGTGCACCGCCATGCCTGGCTCTGATGACCATAGGGTGAATGAGCAAATGACAGGCCTAGGAATGAGTCCCGAGGAGGAGAGGGGAAACACCTGGGGTCACATTCTCCCATCAGTAGCAAAGCAGAAGCTGGAATCAGCCTCCTGCCTGCCTTCCCTGCATCAGAACATGCCACTTGCTGCTAGTCGGGAAACAAATGCACCGTGGGGGCCGGGGATTTAGCTCAGTGTTTCTGGTGCCTGCCTCGCAAGCGCAAGGTCCCGAGTTCGATCCCCGGTACCAAAAAAAACAACAACAACAAATGCACCGTGGGTCAAGGAAGGAATTGGTGTTTGCATGGTCACTCTTTCTTCCCTGGGAGCGCCCAGGACTGAGGTGGAAGGCAGGCTCTGTGGTCTCCCTATGGCAGCCCAAGCTGTGGCTCAGGGCTGGGTGCAGCTCATTAGCCTGCAGCTTCCTCCTCCGCAGCCTTACAGGGTGGCACGGATGCCTGGGTGCTGGTGTTTCTCCTTTGAATTGCTTTCCAAAGGGGATGCATCCATTTCCCTCCAATGATCAATATAATCATTCATGAAAATGAGTCATTTCTGTCTTGGGACCCAATTATTTTCTTGTGAACCAATAGTTACAAAAATATATTGTTTTCCAGTTAACTATTAAGTGCTATTTTTATACAGTTTTCCCACTCCTGATCTTTCATTACTGGTGAG